AGAAGGTTCCAAGAAGATACTGCCACAAGGAGGTCGCCGGTGTGTACGTACACCAGGCAAAATATTAATAATACGGGCATCCGACTTCTTCGTTCTACAAATCATTTGAATTTCCCCGATAAGCCTGTTTCTTTATTTCCTTCATAATATTACTTTTGTTCCACATCATGTCGTTTGGAGATTTTTCAGTGTCTGCATTTAGCTGCGTTAATTTTTGATAAAACTCATTCCTTACATAATCACTATTTCCTTTTATATTAATTGGTAAATTAAAACTAGTGTTTTCTGTTTCATTTGGAATATCATTGATATTGTTCAGTTCTTTAATGAAAGAGTCAATGGTTGATAATGGTACTGTCTCTTCTCTCGCCATCATCAAATGCTGTGCAACTTCTGTTAGATTTCTTTGGTTGTTCGTCACCTTATCTTAGGACAAAGGACAAAAACCCATGACAGAACCATCTTACTGGTAAAGTAACAATAATTAAAAGATGTCGTTTTCATTTGATACCATTAACCCTGAGAACGTTAAATAGACTACTTCATTATCTAATGTGGACAAAACCATTTATAATTTTTTTTGAATTTTTTAAGATATTAACTGTCGGTGACTGAATAGCAAAATTGCAGACATTGTTAAGACGGCACGCGGATGTGCCGGCATGAGTTAGTATGTTCTAGCTACCTGACTAGAATCTGTTACCGCCAGCAGGCGAAGGCTTAAGGAAATTTCTAATCAAGTATGTTAAGAAATAAATTATTTTTCAATTGAAATGGAAAATAAACGTTTAAGTACAGTTTGCTGCTAAATTACAATAACAATAACAGTTCTTATTTATAACTAAAATGTGTGCGTGCTAATGTATATAGTGTTATATTTTATATTTATATTCGGGCTTGCGAGAGGGATTTCGTAGCATATGCAATTTACCAGTGCAATACATGTGCATGCTATTTTTTATGTAACAATAACTTAAATAAAAAGTATAAAGCTAATTTCTTTTTCGTAATAATGTCTTATCTTGTAAGAGTATTTGTAAGCAAATTTATCATAACTATTAATGAAATAAATGATAAGTAAATAAAAATATTGACTAGGTGATATATAAATATTTTATACCGTTTTGCCAGAAGTTTTATAACGATAAAAACGACAATGGCTACTAACCCAGCACAGCACAACATAATTCCTACAGACAAAATTGCTTAAGTCTTCTCCCAGGCAAACATATCAGGCGTTATAAATCGAATCAACGCCGCCCGCTGTACTGTACAATTGTGTCAGCTGCTGTCCAGTTTTAGCATTATTATATTATCATAGGTGTCCTTCTGAAACTTCGTGTAGGCCATGATTTTTCCGGGAAAGTGAAAACATGAAATATTAATTTACTTTCTAACAATATTTTGTACATTTTGAACTAGCTTTAATTTTTTATTAGTTTTGTATATAAACCAAAACACATCCTGACAATCCAGGGCGAGGTTATCACCCTAGCGTTTTGGTGTAACTACTCATAACTTAAACCTCAACCTGAATATTGTTAATAAAGAGGTATTTAACAATTGCTTTATCTGTGAGAAAGTTAAATAATTTTAATTAACTTTCTTTGATGATGTATTCAAGTAAAGCATATTCATTATAATAACCAGTCACAATAAAAGTAAACTTAGTTAAATGTGGTAGAGCTATTTATTACCTTTCTAATGAACTTGTTGATCTGCCAATAAGTAAAGTCCTCTCGTTCAGTCCATCGTTTATAAATCGAACCGGCGATTCCATATTCCCTTCATTGTGCTACTGAACCATCACTGAAAATGTTTATGTTAGCAATTTCAAATTTGCATATGTTTTTCCTAAAGCCCGTCTCACACAAAACACGGTTGGACACACGATTCCCATACGGTATACCCGGTTATACACGGGTTGACTGGAACGAGTTTTGAGCTGCAGCCGTGCTTGTGGTTTAGTTGGCACGAATTTGACTCGAATATAGCACGAGTATGTACGAATTAAGCACGGATATACTCGGTCAAGCAAGGTTTGAACACGATTTGCATATGAATACATACGACGGTTGTACGGTTCCAAGTACGGTCCAGTATGGTCTGGTACGATTAAATACGACTTTTACTCGATTTACTCGCCTTTCACAGGGTTTACATAGGCTCCCGCCGACTTTTGTTCGAGTTAGGCTCGAAATATTACACATTTGTGTATGTTTTGATATAAATTAACCCATTTTGATGACTTGGCTTCATGAATTTTCGAAATTTCAACAAAGAACATTTGTATATAGATCATTATAATACTGCACTTTTGTAACGTCGCTTTTCATTGGATAATCGTGACGTATATATATTTTATATACACGGCTGCTGTCGATTTATAAAGAAATCTCGCTTTATTCCTCTAAAAATGATGCTTGCTGTATAATAAATTCGTTATAAAGATTGTTGACAGGTTATATGGCCTTATATAAACGGCTGTTTGCAATATATTTACAAACAGCCGTTTATATAAGGCCATATAAACTGTCAACAATCTTTATAACTAATATTAACATCAATAAATGAATAAAAAGGTGAAGCAATGTAAAATGAATGTGTCTTTTTTCTGTTGTGCAGCGGTTGCTGGAGGGTCCACCGAGCTGGCATTGGAGTCTGAATCCCTGGGAGATACGGTTATTGCCGGTTGGTCCTCCAGCTTATCAGGGTCAATAAATTGGAGTGGTCGGTGAGCCTTGATGGCTCTTCTTGTCTTTCTTGTATGCGTCCAAAACTTCTTCTTTTGATACATTTTAGTGTGATGCAGCAAGTACTATTGGTAGGGTGGCAGCAGGTATTTGTGTTTTTTGTACAGTTCTTGCTGACGTAGAGGTCGTATTAGACCGTACGAGGCCGTGTGAGACCCTGTATACCCGTAATTTACCGTGTCGGCCATGTATGTTTCGTATATGAACCGTATTGGTCGTATGGCGATCGTATGAAACCTTGTGTGCACTCGTTTGAATCGTACCGTGATCTTGTGACATTCGGGTGTTAATCGGGTGTTGGATGTAGGTCTTGGGGACGGTCTCGAACGATTCCATACGATTTATATACGACCATGATACGGTTGGGCTCATTCGGGGAGTGAACTTCACATACGGCTGTATATACGGTCTCATACGGTCTCACAGATCTCTTACGGTTGTACGGTCGCTTATACGGTCATGAACGGACATGGCATCAGTACCAGTTTTTTTAAGTTTTAAAAAATATACACGGCTTACATGGATACACTCGAATGGCCCGAGTGTAACTCGGATAACGCTACGGTTAGTTTGGTTGTATGTACGGTTAACAAGGGTGGCCAACCATGTAAGCCGTGTGTCCTGTGTGAGATGGGCTTAAATAAATCTACATATAAATGCACCCGTCTCACATAGTTACATTTACCAAAATGATAAATCGATGTTAATCAATAGATGATGATACAATGTATAGTGAATTCATTACACCACGCTGTAATTATGTGAATATGCACATGTAAAGATATACAAACTAAGTGTTTTTATTAGAGTATTTAGACAAAAATGTAAAGTGATTTAAATATAACCTGTTAGGATTTGTCACGCCATGTAATCATCATCAATATTAAAACTGTAATCCCGAATGCTTGTCAGAGATCTATATTAAATTTTACGAATAAATTTCGAGAGAAAAAAATAGATCTAACTTTGTTTAAAGGCACATTATGACTCAGCAATCTATATCGTTTAATTCTTTAGAAATGTTAAGCATGTCTTTATTTAGAAAATAGATATCAATTCTGAGTGCATTGTTGTAGATTAATGCACGGTTTGAGTTCAAATGCGTAGTAATATAATCACGAAGGCCGATAGGCCTGAGTGATTAATTACAAAGCATTTGAACGAAAAATTTCATTGTGACGTCACGTAAACAACACTTTAAACGTCTGTACAGCATTAACGACTGAATTAAAATATTGGTGTTCGGATTCATTTTCTTAGTTAGACCATTTTCTTTCATTCTAGATACTTTTCTCAACCAAATTCGACAAAAAGAAATGTTTTTATTTATCAATTTTTTTAAACAAAATGGCGCCCTTAATGTGAAAATACACCGTGAGATAATAAGAACGGCGAGTGCATTGTTGTAGAATTGTTGTAGAGTGCATTGTTGTACCATGTAGTGGTTCCTCTATTTGATTTGCTTTCAGTTCCGACATTGAGTTACGGGTGAATTTTGACAATATATTAAACAGTTATTGGTGCTTTTAATGCAATCATTGAAATGAAATATTTTGTGTTGTGTGTACCAATTATTTTGTCTGTTGTGATAAAAATGTCCATTGGCTGTTTCAAGTACACTAAGCTTCTGAGCAAGCACCGTATGGTTATCCTGTTCCGCTCACTCTGTACTGTCATACACTTACGAGGTATGACTTTATATTTATATACTTATTTAAATAAAAATATCAAGAATCTATTATTTTATTTGTTCACTTATTTCAATATACATTAAAATGGTACTTATTTCTACAAACGGTACAATCATTCTATTTGGCATTCTAATATAATCGAACCTATGCCCAGTGTTTGTTCCGGTAGGTCCTCATTTCTAGAAATATTTGACCATATAACTAAAACGTATTAAGTACACGAAATAAGATTATATAAAACAAAAGCAGAAAATAATTATTGACTGGAATTTTGAAACTATGTTATGATTACTTTACGCAAATACCACTCTGGATACAAAGCAATATAAGGCAATTTCATATCAGGCAATTAATGTAATTGATTTAACGCTAAATAAAATGTTATGATATTATAGAAGTTCAAAACTTATCTAAAATGTCCTGATTGAATATGCAGTGAGCATTAATCATAAATAATTGATAATTGCAAGAAAATGTCAAACATTGCCATTTAAGGCGTGCCAAGTGTAGAGACGTATAGTATCATTTCAAATTAGTCTGATCCAGCTCTTGCTACTTGCAGTAAGCAGCGCAACAAATCATTCCGAGAATTTCTTCGATTTCTTCATAAATATTTTTTGGTATTTTTTCTTCGATAAGAACTTCAAACATGTAGTACGTGTTGTGAAATGTTCCTTTTATCTCCAACCAAAATGGATTTAAAGTTGTTCATCATCTGTGTTTTTGTCAGCTTTTTAAATACAGGTTAGTAATTTATACATTTATTTGATTTTTTTTGTCAGCTAGTTTACAAGTTGTAATTGCTTTGAGATGTATGGTATAAAGATAACAATTATTGCATTCAAAACTACACACACCGGGATACATTAATAACTAGTAATGTTAAATTTCGTTACTCTCTTGTGCGATAATTAGCTCCCCATAACGCGATATTTATCGCGTGAAGAACTGCAACATAAGAAAAATAAGACGATATTTATCGAGGTGAGTTTTTCCAATTTCGCAAGTATATTTTTCCATGTTCTCAAGAAAAAGCGCTCGAGAGACTAGCAAAATTAAATACATGCGAAATTCAGTACTAAATTTCGCCCGTTGGAGGAGATAATTATCGCGTGTTTCAAGCAAAATATTTTGAATTAAATAGGACACGTAAAAAACCACCAGACACGGAATAACAATGGCCACTCCATCATTAAATGCCTGTAAGTAAATGTATTTTTGGTTGACATAATTTAAAAAAAACTATCGTTTGAAATCTTAATGTATTTTAACTTTTGTAAAATTATTGAATATTCTTATATTCTTAAATGTACATTAAAACATCAGCAATTTCTCAATATTTTGGACGCAGTATTGCGAATAAAATGAAATGCACTAGTGAAATTTAATATAAACGTTGATTTACAGTGAAGGACAAAAAATATGAATCATTTAATCATTTGAGATACAAAAGATACAAATGTCGTTATTGCCAGACATTTTAGGACCCCGAAGTACGAAACGCATTTTGGGTCGGGCCCGAAAACGCTGTGTTACAAGGCGGACTAAAAACGTTTCAAACCCATACACAAAACAAGCATTTGTTTGTTTAGTTCACACTCGGACTTTGCGTAACTTGAACAATATAATTTTGTATTTAGTATGTAAACATTAGAAGGAAGTACCTATACAATGAAGGCAAAATGCTTTAAGTCTTTTATGGAAAGACATGTATACATAATATATATGTTAAACAAACAACATAACATTTCGCAGCAAGAAGCTTCAATATTTCGAACATATTCTTAAGTGGATACTAACACTTACACTTACACGTTAAATATACTAGGCATAACAAATTTGCCCCCCCCCTTTCGTTCGGTAAGGATATTTATTGTATTGAAGTTGTTAAAGGTGGCTATGCATATTGACTGTATTATCAATAAGCGTCTTAGTGAACAAGGCATTCAATTCATGGTTGTAAGTGGTTGTAACGTTCCTGAAATGTTATTATCCTCCAGGGGACAAAAACTGGATATTGCCCAGAGGTGTGGCTTCAAAAAGATAAGATTTTAAAAAAGTGAACTGGAACGCATGGAAGATCAAACAACCGCGTACGTTTTTGTTGTATCTATAGCACTTAAGGCACTTAAAGGTTATCGTTAATCATATAAAAAAAGACCAGTTTCACGATTTAAACTAAAAATGACTATACACGCTATCAACACATTATACTTAAATTGAAATACCATCCCGGGGCGTACCGAGTCGCAATTTTTTCATAGCCTCTGCTGCGACACCTGATAAAATATCATATAAATAAATTTTATTGCTAATTACATCAGCTCCTGCGCCGATAATGTAGTAGATTATGCAAATAAGAAAACAAACGTTTTATTGACAGTTTTGTCAATATGCGTAATAGCGGCCGTCAGCTTTTAAAGGGCTAAATTTGTTTCATGTCGCAAAATTTATGTATATAAAACTAGTTCCCTATTCCTTATTCCTTTATCGAATAAGGAATAAGGAATCAATTCCTTATTCATTTTTCGAATAAATAATAGGGAATTATTTCCTGATTCCTTATTCAAATCTATATTAGGAACAGCAAAGTATTTATATAATTTAGAAGTAAAACTGTGGTTGATCAGAAAACTAGAACGGTTCTAGATTTCTGTTCAACAATAATTTAATTTTATAAAAATACTAATTTTGCTGCTCCTTATTTAGATTTGAATAAGGAATCAGGACTTATTAAGACCCCCAAAATATTCAAGATATCGAGGGGTGATAGCGAAAAGGTTCTATCTAAGTGCATTTTCCAAAAAAATTTACAAGAAAAGCAAAAAACTGTCTCAAATGTTTGTAAAATAGCAAAATTCCACAACACTTTGATTTTATACATACACATGTTTTAGAAACGTGTCAATGATATTAAAATTCTAGGAAAGACTTATCAAACAAGATATTTATTCAAATGTAGCTGATAACTGTTTCGCCCTGCTTATAGTTTGATTTTTATGTTCAAAGCGAAAAGGTTCCAAGTGACATTTTGATAGAACAAAAGCATGTGTTTTTCTTATCTAATTTAAGATTGAGCAACATTTTGTCATTTCTTATTATTCAGTAAGAGATGCAGAATAGATTGCAAGATAGGACTGTTTCGCATTAACTTTTTATTTTGATTTCATATTTAAGGTGTGGGGCATTCTCTTATAATGAAATTTTATGTTTGACTGTGTTTAAATTAGAAACATAAATAAAGGTCATAATTGATAGAATACAAATCTTTTAAAGAACATGATGGACATTAATTACACCTAAAACAAATGCATGCCAATTAATTTGATAATCATTTTAGCGGAACTATACGAAGTATACGGAGAGCTGTTCTTCTCGCCCCGGCGTCCTCGTCCAGATTTCATTATTTTGGTGCAGTAAAATACTTAAGGTATCAACTTCAAAATATATGCTCCTACGGCCTTCGTGGCCAATTCCTATGCATCAAAATTCCAAACCCATGTTAAATAGCCAATAAACATCGCTAAGACCGATATTATTTCTTAGTCATTACACACATGTTGTGTGACATGGTACATAACTGTAGTGTTACTACTTCCATAATTATTCCACCATGAACTTTGAATTTATGTTGATTATTTTTTTATTATAACTTCTTGGCATATACGAGCGTAGATAACAGTTATAAAACGCAAGCTCCTGTATTCCCAGAATTATTCCCATTTAATTTTTGAAATTAATTTGTAAATTGATTTTTAGTATTATCTTTGTTGATATAAATAGTATCTACTCTAGACTTAAGATAAATAATTGTTCTTTGTCATTACTCACATCATGCATGACAAGGTTCATAACTCTAGCTTCTTTTTTAAAGTTATTTCCCTTTTTGAACTTTAAATTTTACTTAAAAAACTTTAATTTTTTTCCTCTTATAATTTTTGTTTCTGAAGGGATTGACTTCAGATTTCAAATTGCTGTCTTTCCATTAAAGTAACATTTATTGACAGGACCCAGGCCTCGACATTAGCGGTGGTCCGTTGGTCCGAGACCACTTGGTTTTGGCAAGGACCACCTAATTTTAAAACCCACTGGTCCGTCGGACCACTTGAATTTTCTGGTTGATACAAGGCTTATTTGGGAGAATGGCGATTTGGTCAAAAACATGTTATATACTTTTGTTTAAAATCATTAATCTATGTCCGATGTACATGTATATGGTTCATTAATCTCTGATTAGTTACAGAAGTTTTCTTAAAGTCATCAATAACTTTCATTTTAAGTCGCTAAAATTTTGTTTATGCAAGTTAAAAAGAAGTTAAGAATTTGTGATATAAATTTAGGTACAAAAATTCATTCAAATGGTGCTAGTAATTATCATTGTCTGATTACCTCGGGCGGAAACCATTAACATTTTATGTATGTTTACATATTAATCAACCGGAGTATCCGATGATGGTGATTATATGATATTGGATAAACTTAAATTTCAGATATTGAATAACGGCAGCAAACGAAAGGAACTGGAAAAAATACATCTAGTAATTCTATGCTATTTATCTTTATTTAACTGTTTAACGATAAGAGATCTGTTTCTTTCTAGAGTTAAAATTATTTTAAAAGGTTTAAAAATACCTTATGTCAAAAAAATGAAATATCAAATAACAAGCAACAGGAGGTAAAATTATGTATTATAAATATGTGAGAAAAAATAAATATGTGAAAAAAATAGATAAGTTATAGTAAATAATAACGTTGTCATTATTTTAATAATTTATATATTTCCTTGTTTTCAAAGACAAGAATAAGATAATTTATTAGTTCCATTAAAATGTTAATCTATAAAAAGATGCTATGTTATTTATAATCATGATTATAAGACATACCACGTATTCAGCAATGGATATTTGAATAACAGTAAGAAAATAACAGACACAAATGGCTTCACTATATATTCCCTAACTTGAGTTGAGGGAGAAATCACATTAATATAAAAAGATAACATAAATAAGAGCTCTGCTGTGTATTTTTTGACTCAGATAAAAAAAAAACAAGAAACATGGCAATGCCATGAAACCAGGTTTTCAATTATCACCATTGTAGATAAATATGTTGTATTTGAAATACAAATACAAGCAAACAAAACAATGTAACTATGTGCAATGTAAAAACATGAATAATGTAGGAGGAATTGCCACTGAAGAAGTGTTCACTATAATATTATGTATAAGGAAAAAAACAAAGGGCCATAATTAGGTCAAAAACTATCCAATCACAAAACCCCGACAATATGTGCCAGGGTGCTTGATGACAAAGCTTCTGTGAAAGTTTGAAACAAAATCCGTTGAGAAATGTAGGACGAGTTCAGCACAGAAGAATTTGTTCACTATAATTATATTGATAATTCTGTATAATGAAAAACAAGTTACAAAGTAGACATGAAATAATATATCATATCTTTTTTAAATTACCTCCAAAGATGATATGACCTTTGACTGCCAAATCAAGTTAAAATCATGTAAACAGGATTTTCAATGTTAATGTCACTGTGACCTTGACCTTGGAGCCAGCCATGCGGAACATGCGTTCTGCACGTCATCTTGATGTGGTAAACATTTGTCTGAAGTTTCATCAAAATTCTTCAAAGGGTTGAAGAGTTACAGAGCGGACAGTATTTTCAATGTTAATGTCACTGTGACCTTTGACCTTGGAGCCAGCCATGCGGAACATGCGTTCTGCACGTCATC